CCCCCCCCCACCCGTTCCTCGCTTCTCGCATGATTATCACGCGCGTTGAACTATTTATTTGCTGCTCTCTGTGACTTCCCGATTGTAGAAGTGGAAATAACAGGGTGTAGCGGCTGTAGCTCAAAAGCTCGAAATCCTGATAGGCTCAACGCTTGGCGCTCACATATTCCACACATGCTTTATGAAGGCTTAAAACGCGAAAAGCTACAGCCTGGAAGAATTGTAGGAAAGAGCGTGTAGTGGAGAGCAATGGAGAAGAATACCACAGAAAGACGCTGAGTATTATTCATTCTACCAACAGACGAGTTCTTTACAGCGAAGACAATGCACCTCACCACACAAAAAAGGCAAGCCTGCTTCAGTGGTTTTTGCATACTTTACATTGCAACAAAATATTATCTGGGTACACTATACAGGCTTTCATCGACGCTGTGATGTTTCGTATACAGTTACAATCAGTAACCTTTCTGCACACAATGTATGCTGCTTCCGCGGATAAAATCTCAGGAGTGCTAGTGAGGAACACTGCAAGAAGAATATGTTGAATTCCATTCGTGGAGTTGGAGCAGGCTACTCTGCGCTTTATGCAGCAAGTGAGTTGCCATGGAAAGGGTGGCATTAAAACATTCCAATGAGATAGTCGGCGTGTATTCAAAGTGGGATGAACCATGAGGAGCAGGAAATGTTGGTGCACCAAAATTCGCGCAGTGCACTCAAACTTGGCGTGACGAGCATGTTTAACACGTTCGTTCACTATGGGCGGCACCGTGGTCGCGTTTTTCGGCATTTATGTTGCATGACATGGCTGACTGAGCAAATCTGCAACAGCTGAGAGTCAGAAAGCTTGAGTGGATTGGATAGTGATAGCGACACTGAAACTACTGCGTACGGGCGGTTTCAACAGTACTCGACAGCACAATGTTTGGAATGAAATAGCCACACGAAGCCTATTCTGGGCCCCTCAAAGACATGTGCTTCCGCTTTTTTAATAATATGGTATATATGGAGATTATTGCCCACAAATATGGCGCCGGCTACTCCTTAGTCCTTCAGTGAGTCGAACACGTATCTTAAAGGTAAATGTAAAGAGCAGAGCATGAAAATAGAACACTCGACCACACATATGCAACAACCCCTATATGCTCTTATGAAACAACACCCACACAATGATAACGAAATAGTATGTGACAATGCCCGTCGTTAATATTCAACCTGACGCGTGTAGTCCTAATTGAGATGTATCCACTCATGTATACTTAGCAGTCGACACGTCATTGACATCAGCACACACATATGATAAATCTCATATAATACTGTGCTGAATAGGTACGACGTGTTATACTAATAAAAGTTTGTTAGTTCTCTCAGTACTTGCCACTAAATTCACTGTGTTTAAAAAAACATTTTAACGCTTTTAAAGCGTACGTCTATAATGCACCAGTTTTGCATGCTTGCTGCAGCAGCCCAAAGTGTGTTCTAATCGATGATTTTGAGGGGTTGCTCCGCAAAAGAGTCAAATCTTAGCTCGCAAAGTTCGTCGACTGCTCCAATTCTGCCACTAGAATTCGATGATGGATCAAACAAGCTCGCCGTTTCAATTGCAGGAAAGGCACATGTAATAGCATTTATCCGCGTGTGCTGCGTGCGGTCGATTACTACTCAACTGGAAAAGAAGCCTTGTCAGGTTTTTGCTGAACGAAGGAACATGAAGTGATACACATATAGGTGGTTGCGTGGCTGGATCCGCAACTCCGAACATTTATTATAAGTGAGCATTCACCCCTGCAAGCGCGCACTATTTCAGAAAGCATCGGCGAATGGCTCGTGTACCCATCTAAGCACTATGAGGATATCACTCCACAAACTCTGATGTGGTTCTGGGACGGCCGTATTCTCATATACCAGCGTTTTGCAGTTTCTCGAGGTGAGATAAAAAAAATTAGATGCAGCTGAAAATGCCTTTTGGAGCTGCGCACTCCATCGCATGGTGTGAAATGTAAGTTTGTCAAAGGGTTCTCTTACCTTAAAAGTGTTGAAGTCATCTCAAACTTAACGTGTTCTTTTCTAAGAGCTGAGAATAAAACTATTTCCATCTTTCGCGAAGTTAATGGCACTTCTGTACCGTACGCTTTATCCTCACCTTTCGAATACTTTGAATGTTGCAAAGAATTTTCCCGTGTAGATGCGCTCCTTCTAAATTTTTGTGGCATTGTGTCTAAATGGAACCCAAAACGTCCAAGGCACCATGAAAGTATAATTCACCCCGCTCGTAGCATAAAACGATCACGTAAAAATACGTTCATTCGAAGTGCAATTCTCATGCTTTTACACTTGATGCATGGAATACAATAGAGAACCTAAAATAAAAAGACTGAGAAATACTTCGTCAGTAATGCCTTCGCTTCATTAATAAAAAAGTCCATTCAGCTTCTATATTTCGATTACTCCACACTCGTCCATGCCCTCATCGGTTTTTCTTGATAGCCAATCCTTGTCAAATTATGCAGGTATAGCAAATACCTTTACTAATTACTTTAATTCTGTTTTTCTTACTGATTACAGCATCATTCTTTGATATTTCGCATGCTGCAACGTACCACTTCTTGCCGATCTTTTATTAAGCTCCTCTGGCGTACATGACCTTATAGTAAATCTTGACTTTTTGAAAGGATCTGGCCCAGACAACATTCCAAGTACGTTTCTAAAACGGTTTTCCGAATAACGTGCTCACTTACTTACTGTAAAATTAAAAAAAACTATTATCTCTGTGGCAGTTCTCGGGCTGGGGAAACTAGCAAACATCGTGCCCGTATTTAAGTACTGAAACAAGAAAATAATACCAAACTATGGGTCAATATTTTTATTCTCTACCAGCTGTAAACATTTCGATTATATTATTACAAAAATGGCTATAGCCTACCTAGATGCACACAATATACCTCCACAACCTCAGCACTCCATTTGTGCAGGCTACTCTATAGTTCAACTGTTACTTCAATTTACGCAAGATATTGCTCCTTCCGTTACCTACTGAAGACAAGTTGATCTCATATTCCAAGGTCTTTCACAAGGTTTGACAATCAGAATTTTCAGCTTTTTAAAAACTATTTTTAGCAACAGCTACTGGTTAATTGCAAAGCAGTGTACTTGCTGTCGTGCTCCGAATTTGTTTCTTTTACCCACGAAAAGCTATATTACGTACACTTTATATCAGAAAGGGCCTCAAAATTTGTTGCTTGTTCGGCTTTTTTATGTTCATTTAAATGCTTGAAAAGAAATGATCAGTGCTATTCAAATAAACTATAAATGTATGCAGACGACTGTGCTAACTGTAGAATCATCTCTAAAACATAAAATCAGAATGCGTTAAGTATTGTTTTTTTTCGTCATTTTGTAAAAGGAGTGAAACATGGTGAACTTAAAAAATTTGTATATAGTCACGACTGTTTCAAATAAGAAGTGGCCTCTGCACTTTACATATGTCAATGACGCCATAGATCTAATAGGTGTTATCCAGTTTTAATACATTTGTACTAGTCTCACAGCAAATTTAGCATTGCACACCTACGTCGAAACAATCTGCAACAAGTACGAAAACTTTGGTGTCTCTGTAACTAGACAAAAGATTACTGACAGACAGTGCAGAAGTCTTTGGTCAGACCGAGTAATATGCATTGGTTGTGCGTCGCCTCACCACAAGGATGACACAACTATGTTATCATGTTCTAAAGAAAGCAATACTGCTTATATTCCGTCGCTATGGCCAGCGTTTCTCGCCTACTTTGCATGCGCATGTTTTGTGAATGCAGCCCTTCTCGAACGTCGGCAAGGTTTCAATCATATCATCCCTCATAAATAACTTAATTCACACTGCACTTTGAGTGTTCTAGCACACATATCCCTCGTCACATCTTCTGCAAAACGTAGCCTATGATTTGATTCAACGAATATCGTGCCCGTTAATCAATTCAAAGCTGTTTTCATTTTCATATCTTGTTTTCTTGTTTTGTGTAAAACGAACGTACTTGATATGACTTTGATAGGTATCTGCGCAAACTTGGTGCTTAACAGCTGAAAAAAAAACATAAAGATGTACTTGATTACATTGTATCTTTTCGAGGTTCTGAACATTTCTATTTGAGCGTGCATAGTCTCGTAAACTGGCACAGCAGTATTTGTAAATAAACACCACTAATTCATGCAGCTCTCACGGTAACGGCTCCACCTTTTTGGGTAAAGAGGTTCTTTTTATTTCAAAATCGAAGGAACGAATTTCAATCACCATGCCCCCCCCCCCCCCTCACCGCGCCGCGCGTTCACCGACCCGATGAATCTCATGCCTTGGACGCGCTGCCGCCGAAAAAAGCAGTGTTGCACCACCGGCAACTTAAGTATCGGCGCACAGGTCTAGTTCCCGCTGGGTAAGCATGTGTTTGCTCAGGCAGGCTTTTGTTTCCATGAATAAAATGGTTATGAGGCATCTTACGTTCGAGGATGTATTTTTGCTTTAAACTTCGGATTTTGCGTGCGGAAATTGAACCCATGCTTTTGAATTTCATGATGGCACTGCCTATGGGTTAAACTAGCCACAGATAGTGCCTGTGATATATCGGCCTTAGTTGAAGTAAATTAAACAAGTCGAGAATTGATGGAGTTTGCCTTAGTAGTGCCCTTGGCTGTTCCTTTCCAGAAGTTCGCAGTTAAATGAAACACTTCGCAGTCTACCATCTCGCTGGGCAAACAAAAAAGAACTCATATTTATTGTATGGAGGAATGTTTTATAATGTAGCGGTGCGCGGGCAGGGGCGTCTGGAAACAATTGGGACAAATAAACTGTCTTTTGATATTGTTAGGCAAGCGACCAGGATCGCCTTTGATCTTCCACTTACTGCACTGCTTGTTTGATCATTATTAGATTTTTAGAGACATGTTGCCCATATTTGCCTTCATTAAGTATTTAGCCATAAATAAGGGTTGGAATGTTACATATTTATTTCCAGCACCACGTTTGCCTTTGCGGATTCGACCAGAAGTTCATGTTGTTTTTGATTACTTCATAAGCAAGGCACTGGGATTCATTGAAAAGAAAGTTGCACGATACGTGGCCATTTTGACGGCTTCGGTATGTATGACGTTTGCTCCTGTTATTTTTTTTTTCAAGCGCTGGACGAATATGATGTGCTTTGTGATGTGCTGTTCAACCAACACAAAGTATCAGAAATATGTAATCCCTCTGAATTCAGAATATAATTTAAATATATTGCTTTTCTCTTTATATATGTGTGCCTAAATATAGAGGATCATTTTTTCAATGAGTAAAGGTGCGTGGTAAAGTAATATACATAAAATAAAGGAACTCATCAATCGGAAGAGCGTGGCGCTGCATGTAAAATAGGATTGTTAAGGCGTTTCGTTTCTCAATCATGCAAGCGCATGAATATAAAGTTGAACTGCATATTGGCTGTCAGTATTATCTATATGACATGGCTGAATCTTAGAACTTGCTTCTTGATTTCTGTGCCTACAAGAAATCGAGAAATAAACATACTTTGGCATACGGATACACTCTCTCTCAATGCAAATAAGTATTATTTGGAAAGTGAATCCTGAAACAGCATGCTCTCCAATTTTTTGTTCCCAAATCACAATATGATTATCAGAAACACCGTATAGTCGAAGACTCCCGAACTTCAAAGCATCTGGTGTTTTTTAACCTGTGGTTACAACGCACAGGACACAAGCATCTTCAGACTTGCAGTCACTCAAGTGCAACCACGCCGTAGGGATCAAACCCGCCACCTTCGAATCAGTAGCAGAACATCCTTATCGCTGATTTACTACGGTCGATGGAGAGTCTAGATGACAAGCTCCTGCTTAGCTGAGGTAATACTTGAGTGGCTTGGCTGTGAAAACAAAGTATGAGCGAGTAATATACAAGAAACTGACTGGCATAAGTTTGGAAAAACAAACCCACATCACTCATCAGCGCACAGCCGTAGTATATAGAGTCATTTTTAATTGCAGCCTTTTTTTGAAGGCGTATGGGCTGCTGTGTTAAGTAGAGGATGCATCACAATACGCTCATCAAAGGCCTACCATCTAATATTTCTTCACATTGTCGAGAATGTAAGTGAACGCCAAAAATTTGATAAAAGGACAGTTTCAAGTAGGCACAGAAAAAACGAGTAAACTGTCACGCATATATTGTCGAAGGTAGTGATTCCGTATGCTTTAGTGAACTGTCAATTTACTTGCATAAACGAGAAATCAAGGGCCTTACAAGCTTTACTGCACGTATAAACCCGTGCGTATCCTATTGAAAGGTTGCTTTGTTGCCATGGCATGCACAGATACGATTTGTTTTCTTAATTTTTTTACGCTGTTGCAAGCCTTTCCAGTTACTTGTCAGTTTTTATGGTTTCTTGATTTCTTTCTTGTGCTCGTGATCGCACACCCTGCTTTTTCTAATGAATTCCTACAACTAAGTGTTCATCCCCAGTCTCCTGAGTACATGGTGTCCCTCTGCCTCTCAGAGCATATAGAAACAATGAAAAATACTTGATAAGGCCGTTGTCCTGTTGCATTACTATTACTTGGTATTAGTTGTGTTTCAAAACGCGCTTCAACCAACACGACCACTAGTCACTGAGCATGCGTTTATTGACTAAAGTTTGCTGAGGTTTCTTTGGGCATGCCGTAAGGTTGTTGCTGTCACTCTCATTCAATTTTTTTTCTTTTTTTGAAATAGGCCAATTTGCGTTATCGAAGCATTGTGCAACCAAGGGTTCAGTTGGCAATTACCGGAATCACTGTGACAAAAACGGTAAAACAAGTTTTGCAAAACATCTTCTCACTAATTAGTTAAGCGGCCGGTACAGGTATCATTTCAAGTATAATCTCTTAATTTATAAAGTAAAGAAAAATACGTTATATGAACGAAGTGTAGGTCACTCATCCAATAGAATGCTTTTCTCCGTAACAGTTGCTGTGCGTATGTTTATATACGCATGAAACTTGATGAAATTCGGGAAGAGCCAGTGGTGCCATTGAAGCCACGCTCTAACTTCATTATTGGTATTTTAACACAAAAGTGTCTTATGCCGGCGTACAAGCACGGCTTCACTGACGTATTTCCTTCATAAATATGGCGTTGTAAATTATATAGTAACTGAATGTAAAGAGAAAAAAGAAAACAAAGATGATGTCGCGTGGCGTCACACCAGTGACTTTTTGACTCAGCGCGCCGAGCTGACTACTATGCCACTTGAGGTATGTTGTCGAAAACTCTAACGCAAAGCCATTCATGACACCGTACTCCGTTTGGTGGTTCTCAGACCTTCGAAACTTTAGCGTGTTTTCGTATTACTAGCAAGATGGCGTGACGGGCTTCCGTTGGGCGCGCAATAAATGTCGTCGCCTCCATAGAACGTGGTCTTTTCCGCGCGCACGCTTATAAGTCTCGTAATTCAAGAGAGGACGAAATGCACTTTGCTCGCTGCCGCGGCCACGTTAACAAAATGAGTGTGCTGCTCACAGACGACGAAGTAAGAATGTCCTGTCACTTGTGTGCTTGTCTTGTCATTCGGAGAAACAAAGCGTCTATTTTGTTAGGACAGTGCGCTTTTAGTGTCGAGCAGCCACAGTAATTAGTAAGTGCTAGTTCTGCGTTTGATAATTTCGTGCGCGCTTCCTGCTAAAGGTATGCGCTTCAAGTTTCGAGCTGATTGCCGTTCATCACGTGGCCTTGTAATTTGCTGCTGCTGCTGCACCAATGCACAATAAGCGTTGGTGCAGCTTTCGTGTTATACTGAATCCTGGATAGGGCGATCAGCCATGTTTCTTTCATAGTGTTTCAGCCTGGTAAACGCAAGTAAAACAAGTTGTATTTTTTTCAGCAGCATGCTTCATTTTGAAATTTACAGCCGTCTCTTTGCCTCCGGCCAGCGAGGCATATTCACTCACTTTTCTTCGAAAAATTATTACTTCATTTTGCGTTTTTCATTCTTCCTAACTGGCTACGCTAGAACACTCCAATGAACCATGATTTTCGGCATGTGATCTGACAGAGAAGTTACAGTGATTAGTATGGCAATAAATAAAATGGGGCAGTGAAAATAATAAATATTAAGTTCGTAGAGTTTGCAGTGTCCGTTTACCAAGGTGTCAATTACGCCAATTGTGTAGTAAGCAGTTAAGGCTTTCTCTGCACAAATATACCCTTGCAATGCAGATTCATAGAGATCTTGGATATTAGCGCTATTTTTCACTACAAGTATGACTCTGAGGCACACCGTAGCGGAAGGCTGATGCTTTTGACCCTGCACAGACATGGCACAGTACGTGGGTCTCTATGAACTTGTGTCAACCAAAATGCGACCACCACGACTCGGGTCGAACAACCAATTTTTTTGGTCCGCAGCTAAGCAGAAAGACCACTCGTCAACCATGCAGACGTTCACTTCCCGCAAACTGTGCACCCTCAAAGTGTATTGAAAGGGAAGTCTTAATTATCCTAAAATTTCTTAATACGTCATGGGCACTGGTATCTTAAGTCCACCTCAAATGAAGATTGAGATGAACAAAACGTCAATGTTGTTACAGAATTTAACATGAGACGCATCTATTTACGGACGTATTTACACTGATGTGCACAGCACAGAGCAAAAACAACACGCACACTGGACAGGCCAGTCCTCTTCATCGTCTTGTGTAGGGAAGATATCTGATCACTAACTTGTTCGCTACGTAGCAATAATATTGCTTACTGTGAGAATAACATTCACACTTCCCCCATCCTCATGTGTATTTGAGTTAACGCGAGAAGCTCAACGGCATCAGTACTCATTCTGAAAAGGGAAGTCACAATACAGCCGAAAACTTATTGTACAACGTCAAGTCCAGGAACAGCTTTAATAGCCATCTGCAGAACTCTTAGGTTTCCTACAAAAGAATCACGTATTTCGTGATCTATTCTTGGTTATTGCACATCAGCAATATGAAGTCAACTTTCGCTTTACGTCACGGCTCAAACCAATAGCTTTTTGCGGTAATTAGACAAATCCACTAGAAAGCCATAGGAGGAGTCAATGAGGGTGGCGATTTGGGCTTGTTGGTATGGTTGCATGATGATGGATGGTAGCGCAGACAACGAACACGGACAAGAGAAGGCACATAGACACAACACAGCGCTAACTTTCAACAACAGTTTATTACACGCAGATCTCCGTGGTGTATGCGATCCACCACGCCAACGTCGCACGTGCGTAGCTCTAAAAACCATCAAATATAACCAACGCGCGTGTTCCAATACTTTACAATTTTATATTTTTCAATCTTTTTTACTTTTTCTTTCTTCCTTTTATCCCATGTTACCACAAACCCTATCGCGAATACATGTAATCAAGTTCCTTATCTGTCAACACCACTGATGGGCTGCTCACACACGTGTCACCTAGCTCTGCAATTCTGCCGGCCTCCAATACCAACCGCGTCATCTCGTGCCTACTTCTATTGATTATAACCGTTTCCTTGAATTTCGGTGTGCAATTACATCTCTGGCAATGAAGGGAAAGAAAACCATCAGGAACAACACTATTTACTTTGTTATTGTGCTCGCGCAAGCGATCGTTTATGCATCTACTGGTCTGACCGATATAACACTTTCCACAAGTAAGTGGAATGAGGTATACAACACACATGATGCACTCCACAAATAGGTTTCTATGTTTCTTTTGGCATACATTTGATTTTCCCTTGTCTGGTCTTGTGCTTCTGCAAAGACTCACCAACTTATTGGGTGCCGAGAAAACTACGTTAGTGCCACATTTTTCCGCAATCTTTTTTATCCTGTGAGAAACCTTATGCATGTATGGAATTACGGCAAAACTTTCCTTTCTTGAGCTCACCCTATCCATCCCTTCACATCTTTTCTCCAGCACTTTTCTGTGCAATCCTTCAGCAACGGACACGACGAGGCTCTTGGGGTACCCGGCATTGCTTAGCCTCGAGACCTGTTGTCTGAAGCTTTCATTCATGAGGCACCGGCAGGATTTCTTTAGTGCCTCACTCAAGCACATCTTCGCAATGCCTCGTTTTACCAGTTTAGTATGCGCTGAGTGAAACTGTAGTAAAGGCTTACTTGCTCTGGGCTCGTAACACCAGCATGTCTTTTCATCTGAGAATTGAAAGTTAATGTCAAGAAATCTGAGCCTTCCGTCACATGGCATTTCAAAAGTCACTTCAAGTGGGTTAAGCCCCTCACGAAAAAGAAATCCTGCCGGTGCCTCATGAATGAAAGCTTCAGACAACAGGTCTCGAGGCTAAGCAATGCCGGGTACCCCAAGAGCCTCGTCGTGTCCGTTGCTGAAGGATTGCACAGAAAAGTGCTGGAGAAAAGATGTGAAGGGATGGATAGGGTGAGCTCAAGAAAGGAAAGTTTTGCCGTAATTCCATACATGCATAAGGTTTCTCACAGGATAAAAAAGATTGCGGAAAAATGTGGCACTAACGTAGTTTTCTCGGCACCCAATAAGTTGGTGAGTCTTTGCAGAAGCACAAGACCAGACAAGGGAAAATCAAATGTATGCCAAAAGAAACATAGAAACCTATTTGTGGAGTGCATCATGTGTGTTGTATACCTCATTCCACTTACTTGTGGAAAGTGTTATATCGGTCAGACCAGTAGATGCATAAACGATCGCTTGCGCGAGCACAATAACAAAGTAAATAGTGTTGTTCCTGATGGTTTTCTTTCCCTTCATTGCCAGAGATGTAATTGCACACCGAAATTCAAGGAAACGGTTATAATCAATAGAAGTAGGCACGAGATGACGCGGTTGGTATTGGAGGCCGGCAGAATTGCAGAGCTAGGTGACACGTGTGTGAGCAGCCCATCAGTGGTGTTGACAGATAAGGAACTTGATTACATGTATTCGCGATAGGGTTTGTGGTAACATGGGATAAAAGGAAGAAAGAAAAAGTAAAAAAGATTGAAAAATATAAAATTGTAAAGTATTGGAACACGCGCGTTGGTTATATTTGATGGTTTTTAGAGCTACGCACGTGCGACGTTGGCGTGGTGGATCGCATACACCACGGAGATCTGCGTGTAATAAACTGTTGTTGAAAGTTAGCGCTGTGTTGTGTCTATGTGCCTTCTCTTGTCCGTGTTCGTTGTCTGCGCTACCATCCATCATCATCCATAGGAGGAGGACTCAATATAACATTGCTGTTTTTACTAATTAACGCAGCATTCAAGTGAATATTCATGCAGACGCGGCTGCCTTACTTGCCCACAATAGCATCTGGAGCGCCACCCTTCCCACAATGAAATCTGACGTAGAAAATAATTCTTGTGCCAACACACCATGAACCACTCGACCTGCGAAATTCTAAATTTCCAAAAGTATGTGACAGCAATTTGTGAACTTTGATCTTCAATGATATGTCGAATTCATCATAACATACTTATAAGCTGTTTGTTTGCCTCGCGTGTATTGCAGTGTTCTCCAATATGTTTTCACGGTGTATGAAAATCAATTAGAGCCTATTGTGGGGCTCTGTGGGTGTAGCGAAACAATTGCACACCGTCTCTTCAAATGCTTCCGCTTTCGCAACCGAATAGCAACTATCTTGAGCGCGCAAGGCCAGCCAGGTAACCACCATTATATAGAAAAACAAAATTCTTACGCACTAACCAACACGGAATTCACTTGAGGTGCTATCATAGCATCACTGCTTTTTTTTTTTTTAATCGAGACTCAACGACACGCTGGGACAGCTGATTTGCTGCACCGATGTGTTGGTTTTAGATAGTCCTACTGCGATATCTTCGTGGAGTTGTTTCAGTATCGTTTTACAGTGAAAGCTCTTATGAGATCAAAACTCGGGTCACGTGCTGCGCCGTATTTGTCGGCCGCCACCGTCACCGGTATCCGGGACCACTACCAAAAAAATAAGAAAAAAATTAGTTCCAAAGACAAAGTGGGGCTCAAACCTGGGTCCGCTGCGTACCAGCCCGGTATTCTGCCACTGAGCCATGCCAGTGTTCAGGTCTTCTTCGCAAACTTGCTTTAGGCAGGCTTAATCTTGGGAAAGGAATCACAGTATTCTGAATATTTCAAAGCAGCAAAAGAACAACCAGGCATCACACAAGGGGAATAGCGTAATGAGCGGGTCGTCCAATTTGCTACTCATTACAAAAGCTTGTTTTTGTTCAGCTAAAAACTGTGGCGCATACCCACTTCAGGCGCGATTCCTCACCGGCCTCAGCCACTGCATGAACAACTGGCACAAAATTTCTTGCAAATGTTTAGCGGATACTACGCTTCTAAAAAATGATGAAGTATGGCATAGTGAGCTCCGGCCTGCTACTCATGAATTGTTATCATTAATGCCATGGTGGGTACTCTGCAAGTGTGCTAGTAGCAGTTAACCAATGAGTGTACAGAAAAGGCTCTGAAAGGCCACTCCTCTATAGCTTTCGCCATGACTGTGCGGCGCCTTACGAGCAGGCTTGGCGTTTTTCTATAACCTATTTCATTTTTGGGGGGTGAAGCTCCTTATGGCATGGCTTGTGCGTCCCCCCTTGTAGTTGTGCGTAACCGTTGGTGGCACATACCAGAGATCAGGTATATGCCACCAACGATCGCAACTATGATCGCGATGAAAGATGTGATATGGCAGTACTTGAAGTGCTCACTAGGTGAACGGACGGACGGACGTACGGATGGATGGACGCGCGGATGGGTGAACGGACGCACAGCCGGAAGTACGGACGGATTGACGGCCGGACCCATGGACTAACGCAGGGGTGGACGCACGGATGGACGCACAGACGGATGGAAGTAAGAACGAATGGACGGACTGACGGACGCGTCGTCCCCCTCATCATCACTCACTCCGTGGATATGCTATATTTTTCTCACCCTCTTTTTTTTTCCCAAGTACACGGCAGCCAAATGGGCATTTTTTCCATGTTGAATTCATTTTGTTTTATGAATGTGCCTCTCTCTCGCTAAGATCCCAGTGACCATTTTGATTTAAATGTTGAGAAAAAATAGTTCAGGAAAATCTTGAGGTATTTCCACACCCTGACAGAATGACAACGCCCCGCCACGGTGCTTCACTGGCTAATGTACTCGGCTATGTCGAGTACATTAGCCAGTAGACCCGCATGTCGCGGAATGAAATCCCGGTTGCGGCAGCTGCATTTTTGATGGAGGTGAAAATAGTATAGGTCCATCTGCTGAGATTTGAGTACAGGTCGAAAACCCCCAGGTGGTCAAAATTTCCGCATCTTTCCACTACGGAGTCTCTCATAATGATAAATAGTTGTCTTCGGACGTTAAACTCCACATATGAATAAAATACATAAGGACCACGGCACAGATGTGGATTTAAGAAACTATAAGCAAGCCGCATTTTGATGGGTCCTCTAATCCTTTATTATGGTTGAAATTTTATCCACCGTACTATCACATCTTTATGAAAATGCAGTGAACAGTAAGTTTGATTGCGCGATTACAAAATACTGATTCTAATAGAGCGTTGCGACAAAGCTGCTGCTGCTGCTTCATTTTCAAAATGTTATTTTTTTTTGCATTTCAGCGGCATAACTTCAATCGCTTCCCTTACATGACACTGTCTGAATCTTATGAAGGATTTATAAAGAGCTGAACGATTCTTTTATTCCTGCCGATTTAAAAAAAATATTGCGTTCGGTGGTATGAAATTCATTGAAAATATCTTTAACCATCCTGTGAATTTGTCAGTTTGAAGCGACTGAACAGTTGAAAAGCTACATAGGTTTCGTATTTCATATAGCATTGTCACCTCGACAAGTGCAAATGTACAACCGGCCGTATAAACACATATAATATATTTATTTCAGCTAGAAGAGGAGCCCTATATGGTTCATGTTCCTGGATATGAGGCTACACGCAATATTCTTCATGTAGAAACTCGAGCCAAGTTCAACGAGCATGTAAAGAAGCAAACGTATTTTGACAAGACCGATATTGTTTTTCTTGTAACAGGGTAGGCTTGCAAAACTTTTATTCCGGAGCTTGGCAGTGCCTATTTTGTAAGCGAAGTTGTGTCATCATTCCGCGTTAGTTATTGTAGGAACTTTATTAAAAGAACCTTTTGAGTTCTAGCTAGTGGTGTACGAACTTTGGCCAGAAGAGAGGCTCGACGTTTTAGGTGTTTATTGCGAGATGGTGAATACATGTCCGGAATGCGCAAGTGGTTAAATTACGCTTTCGTAATTCACAGATATGAGACTGTAGAAGTAACCAGGTGTAGCATTCAGTGCTCACTTCTCGTTGTGATTTCACAGCACTATGCTTGTCAGGTTAGTGCCCATAGAATATATTTGAAGAGTGAACCTACAAAGCAAATCAACCCTTCTTCACCCCGTAAGAAAAAACGGGCCGCAGGCCATTTGTGCCAAGTCGAACAACTGAATTACATAAACGCTGCAGCCTGTATTAGTTACAAAACCTAAATATCTCCACTATATGATGCCACACCTAGCTGCGCGATGTTAAGGGTCTGCGTAACATGCTCTGAAGTCAGCTGCGTGTAGTTCAGGAACCGAATATGATGACGTCACGCCAAGTTACGCGAAGTAAAGAAATCCTGTAAACTTGACATCCCTGTCTCGCCGCGGTGGTCTAGTGGCTATAGGTACTCGGCTGCTGAGCTGCAGGTCGCGGTATCGAATCCCGGCTATAGCGGGATTCCCCTTCCCCCCCGGTTGGTCGAAATTTCTGGAGCCCTCCACTACGGCGTCTCTCGTAATTATATGGTGATTTCGGGACGTTAAGCCCCACACATTAATCATCAATCAACTTGACATCCCCCTTAGTTGCGTGACATCAAGGAATTCTGTAAAGTTATGTCATTCATAGCCACGTGTTACGGTTCCGCGTACCTGGAAATGGACGTTATGCGAAGCTTGCGGAGAGAATGAGGCCGTATGGTAATTTTTTATTGAGCTACACGTCATAAAAGAACGCTAAATATATGTACAAATGCTGCACGCACACACATATGTTGAAGAGTTGCAGATGTTTGAAAATCCAGTTGTTTGCACTTGCGCAACGATGCCATCTGGAACATGCGTATTAGCAACACCAGAAGTTTATAGAAGCGCTGATGCAAGCGAGGATGCTGACCCTGGGCACTCCTACATAAAATATACTTCAGCGCATGACAACTAACCACAATTGACGTTAACCCGACGTGGCAGCTGTTTCAAAGGAGTTGGTTGATATATGGGGTTTAACGTCTGAAAACCACCATACGATTACGAGAGACTTCTTAGGGAGCGCTCCGAAAATTTCGACCTCTTGGGGTCCTTTAACGTGCCTACATAGCTTTCGCCTTTATTGGAAATTCAGCCGCTGTGCCGGAATTCGAATCCCACGACCTGCGGGTGAGCAGCCGAGTACCTTATTCACAAGACCATCGTGGCGGGGCGTTTCAAAAGAGTTGATATATAATGTTTATTAAATTGCGTGGGCAGCACTGTAACCACTATTGACGTGTCACGAAGATTGTAGCGCCTATTTGAAAAACACCTGCCGTTGCTCTGTGGTAAAAGGCTTCATTGCCACGCATAATGCTTGGGTTCAATTCCAGCTGGGACCCTGACATTTATTCCTTGCACTCGTTGGGTCGAAACCATCGATGTCGGGTATTTGTTAACGTCACTTTAGTGGTCAAGCACCTGTGGCATGTACCCGCATACCAGCGGCACATACCGGCCCATGGGTATGTGCCTCTGTATAGCGGGAAGTGTTTGACGACTTACGTGACGGGATTGGGATATTAATTATGTCTTAACAAGTGCGTCATATTTGTCAAACCACCTCACCCTTCCATGCTAATTTTGGTTCACGCCAAGTTGAGGGGGCGACCATGAGAGCACCGAAACCTAAGCGGCTAGATAGATAGATAGATAGATAGATAGATAGATAGATAGATAGATAGATAGATAGATAGATAGATACGCTCAAAGTCGCCTAAATTCGTTAATAAATGCTTCTAATTTAAAATAAAGTCGAGACCGCATGACTGGCCTCCTGGAAGCCCATCCGCAGTGGTCGAGTGGCTAAGGTACTCGGCTGCTGACCCACAGGTCGCGGAATCGAATCCCGGTTGCGGCGGCTGCATTCTCGATGGAGGCGGAAATGTTGTAGGCCAATGTGCTCAGATTTGGGTGCACGTTAAAAAGCGTAGGTGGTCTAAATTTTCAGAGCCCTCCACTACGGCGTTTCTCATAGTCATATGGTGGTTCTGGGACGTTAATCTCCATATCAAATAAATCTGGCCTCCAGGAAGCAAATGTAATGCAAAGTCATGTCTGAGAAATCATGTAAACAGTAGTCACAAGTGGCAACTTGTCATGTGACCACTTGTGGCATGACCAAAAACACGTAGACCAACTAAATATATAACCAGGACACTGGACACGTGTTCACCAGAAAAGTATTTTGCCGTCACGGCTAGTCACGCAGCATATTTCCCCTAAGTGTGCAGCTTTACTGGTAACCTGACTCTAGCAGTTTTTTTTTTTTTGCTGCGGTTAGTGTTGTCGGAAGCATTCAATATCGAAAGAAAAAGGTCTGATTGTGCAAGTGACAGATCTATTATTTAGTATTTCCGAGAAATGCACTTTCTTTTGCGTGTTACCTTGACCATGCCACTTACGTAATAAGTTGTCTGTTCACGCATACACGGAAATCGTCTTTCTTTCCAGTACGAGTCCGAGAGTGCAAGTAAATAGTTGTTAGCTGCCGTTTTATTGTTTTTTTTTGCTCCTTCAGTTTTCACAAAATGGGTTTGCTGCCACAGTTCGGTACACCTAGAAATTTACACACCAACCCACCAAAAAAAGCAGAATTTCAATTGAAAAATATGGACTCGAACGAATAGAAGGTTCGGCACGACCAGAGGAGAACGTTTCACAACCTTTGTTGATGAATAGAGTCACTGCTATCAAATGAGGTTAAAACTGCCCAGTCATCGGAACCAGTAGCAGCCCGTTTGTGAATGAGCAGTATTGGCCAGGAAAGAAATAATCCACATAATAAAACGATGGTGCGCGAAAAACAATTTGAATTGGCTTAGTTTGGCGATGCAATCTAGTGTTAGTGAAGGCTTGTTTCACTTGGTTGTGCCTGTTTACTCACATATTTCAAGCACATCTTACTAAGCGAAAGATATGGCTACTCATACGTGCCGTACTGCGAACACTCAGCACCGTCGTTTTCATAGTTTCTGAAGCCTTTCTCAAACTTCAACACGATGCGTGCTCCTTGTACTTAAAGATTGTCCCTATCACTTTTCTGCATGCTTGTCGCAATGCTTAGCTCGCCGAAGTTACAGTTCCTCACTCGTTTCATCCTAACACTTCGCGTAGTGTTTCACATAAATCCTCTTTAAGTCATTTCCAAGCCGAGGGACATCCGCAGCTAGCCGCTTTCACCGCAGCGATCGCACAAACATATTCGGCACAGTTCAACCTGCGCTTTAGATCTCTGGTTCCATCGACCAACCATGGCACAATGGCTGAATATAAGCACTCATCTGGTGACACGGTGCAGCAAAGTCACGTGGTTAATCACGGGGACACAGCTGAAGGAACAGGTTTGTCATTGGCAGCAGGTGGCGCTAGCACGCGATATGCGTTGTTCGCTTCAAGGCGAACACTCCAGGGATTATTCGCTTGAAGACTAAGCGTAGATACACCGTGAAACTCGTTAATCTAGGCCACTAAGGTTTCGATTAAAAAACAATGAAATACCTACTCGCTCATTTTTCCGAAATACTTCACAGGCGTTTTGGACGTGGCTACGTGCTTGGTGCTTCCATCACACAATAGCAACCGTATGCGCGAGACGGCCTTCAGCAGGGTGTTATTTTGGGACACCTATAGAGTCGAATCCTGAATGTCCTGAACACAAATTAACCCACTTAATAGAATGCATATAAACTGCGCTCAAATCATCATTTGCTAGTTATGCGTAGTGTTTTTCATCACGCTGTTCATTAGGCAGGCTGCCTTCCTAAAACCTAATATTGAGCCCAACTGTACATGTAGTGTTGAAAAGAGGCAGTCCCGATTTGTGTGTTATCTACAAAGCCTGCAGCGTCACATTGACCTCAGGGGGCAAGAGTGCAGCCAGCATGACTAACACGTAACACATATCTGTTCTTGAAACCCATGTGTGCGAACATACGTCCCCCTTTTTCTTCGTGTAGAATAAAACCAACAAGTTCTAAAATATGATCAATGTTAAGCGATGACAGACGCACAACATTTCCACAGACATCCACAACGGCGTTCCGCCTAGTCATAGCACAGTTTTTTAATGTAACACCCCAACAATTACTATGTGGTTACGTTCACAACAAGCGTTTAAACCTTTCAGACGCAATGTACACAATTGTGTACACCACTCGTTTTTGCTATTTGCCGCAATGAGATTCTAAGCAAGAGCAAGATATATAGTACTTTGCATTATTTGAACATCCTGCAATATATATATATATATATATATATATATATATATATATATATATATATATATATATATATATATGTTTTTATTCAACTTCATCTCTCAGTGCACTGATACATATGATCACTTTCTTGAAGGCACAACCACGTTTGACGAGTCGTACGACGTGGTCTCTCCTGCAACTAATGTGAAAAGCAAAATTTTTCTTTTCTAAAAACGAACATAAAAAGGAATCTTTACTATTATCCTAGCCTGTATTTTTATCATGCTGATTCCAAAAGTAAGCACGAATGACTTCAGAGTAAAGAGACATTTACACAACCTAATCATGATTAGTCCCGAAAACACACATAAATTCTACAATTATCTCATTATTCTTATTGCAATAAAATACTGAGTGTATTGAAGTAACGTTACAGTGATTTGACACACTTACAGACAGTTTTTATAGGCGGCGTCTGAAAGGGTATGATGTATTGGTGCAAGTGTATAATGTCTTCCGGCACAGGACCAACTTCTTCCTCTTTCGCATTACCCACTTCTGCTTGCTGTTCGTTCTAGTTTGGCACATACTTGATGGTTTGAAATATGAGTGTATTACTTAGTCACGGACATAAAGACAGAGACAACGCCGTGTCTAAGAAGTGCGCTTTTATTTCAAATCATCATGTATCACCAACTCGCCCAATCAACCATATTGGCACATACGCTGCGTAATGTCCCCCCTTCTCGTATAAGAAGCGCGCCGACTGTATCATGCATTGTCTCGGCAGCTAAAATATTTCAGGTTTCCTAATGTGACAACGACATGTTTTGATGGGATGCCATGTTTACCACGTCTCAGTTTTTCTCCGATAGTACATTGTCTAGAAGTAATCAAAAATTACCACTCGGAATCGAAGCTTACCCTACGCTAAGCTTCATTACCTCATTTGTGTTAAATGTGCGAAAGTGGTGTAAGTGAATGGTATATCTGGCCAGTGATGGAAATAAACGTGACATACAGTGAGAGTAAAATCGCACAAAAGATCTTGTCATAAGGTTTCTTAAGTAACGACGAATAAACCAACAAAATGTGCGAAAGAAAGGTAACAAGTTGCGTGGGAGCACTGAGGCTTAAATTGAATAGGATACAAAGTGAGGCTCGTACAAGTGAGTGAGCATCGTACAAAATATATATGGCCCGTAATACCTGTAAACACACAGTATCTGAAATTGTGCGACAAGTAGCGAGGGGGGGGGGGGGGTGTAATACAAGGTGTTCAAAAATGGGCACGACACCAAGTACCGCTGTGACCCTTGCTTTTGCGCCATAATTTGATATGCATTGCTTTTTGACGTACAGCGGGACACGGCTCCAACTTAACACTTTCAATCATGTCTTTTCAGATTAAATTTGTCTGAATGGGAAGGTAGTACTTTACAACATTGGGTCGGAGGTAAGTAAATTTACATCTTTTAAGCGAATTTCCTATTCAGGCTGAATGAGTCAACTCTCGAACGAATTCCCACCTTGGAAGCAACGAGCTAGTTATTACGAAAGCATTATCCATATTACGCCAACTAGAGCTTATTGCCGCTGGTCAAAAGACTGCGCACCACACATTTCACTCTTCCTGTTGGTTCTGTTGTGGACCGGGGTCCACCCTACGCGTCCCCGCTGATGTCAGACCCGGTGTCTTGTGGTGGCGTAGCTGGACTTTGGGTGAAAGAAAGGGGCACTGACAAGTTGGGGAAACAAAAAACAAACAAGTTTACGTCACTATTTACAACTAATTACCGCATAGACGTTAGGAGTTCTGTAAACCACGAGCGTGAAGTATACGCTATCAAAACCTTAGTTCAGAGCAACGTCAGCACTTTGTAGGGTCGTTTTAAGCCCTGTCGGGCTCGTCCTCTTTTATTTAAGCACCAATCACACACAAAACACCGCCCTGCAAGGCATCATTCAATAACAAATGGTCGCCGAACAGGGGTCGTATCTCCTGACGCAATGCTTCTCTGTTTAGACTTTCAGTGAAGGGAAAGGAAATGGTTTCCTTCCCGGAACGAGGTGGCGGTTGGGTTAGTGCTGCTGTCTTTCCCTAGAACGGCAGCCAAGAAGTGGAGACTATTCGATTTGACACGACCTGCGTGGTCGGTATGCTTCGCCGTCTCGCCAAACAAGCCATTAGAAGGAAATGACCGTAAGTATATTGGCTCACACACAGTCGGAAGCTGCCACAATCTAATCCCTTTGTTGCTTCCCACCGCTTGAGGCTTTAATCGAGAGAAGGGCACTAGGACTTCCAGACGTGGAAACGCCACTCGGCTCTGCTTCTCATGGCCAGCGTGGCGCCTTCAGACGAGGGTCACAACAGTATCCTCCTCACCAGAGGAGTCACGGAGGGCAACAGTCACCGCTGCTGCTCGAAGGGACGACGAAAGTGCCTGTAGTTGAATACCAGGAACTTGCATTTGCTTGTCGTATTGTTTGTGTAATTGCCGAAAACATTGACAGCGTCTCTAAAGCTCGATCACATGCACAAGCAAGCACTCGTACTACTCCGAACAAACCAATTTTAATCGCCTGCTTTAAACGAAAAGCTCACACTCAAAACTTTCAGGATTAACTTATGCTGAGAAACCAAACGTGCAACCTTAGACGTTCACATAATAGGTTGCAAGAAAAAAATTTTGATACATCAAAAGCACATTTGAACAGCTTATAAAGAGTGGCTGAGTGCGTCAGCAATTCCATTTCATTTGCCCTTCTTATACCTATTGTGAAAATTATATTTCTGAAGAATCAAGCCTCAGCTCACTATGCGACTGTTCTTCGATGTCACGGTTTGCAGCCACCTGGTCTGAGGCTGCAAACCGACAATGGTCTGTCTCTACTTAAATTTGGCACTTCTGAGATAAAACTGCAACTGATGAATGGCCTACACAATGCATCACCACTCTCTTTCGAAGCGCATTACGCTATCTCTCGAGAGCCCAATTTCTTGCTCAAATAGAGCGCAGCTTTGCTAGCACGGTACTTAGTCCATAGCACGGTACATAGCACGGTACTTAGTCCTCCATCGCTTTCGTCACACTGAACCACATATTCTCGGTCGCAAACTGGTGCTCTCCAACCTGACGTTTATCAGTACTGCACTTTCGCTTGAGAAGGTAGCCTGCTTTTTTTCTCCAGACAGAAGCTCCGAATATCCAGAACATGTCTACCTTAACTACCTCGTAGTTGTTCGCATCCTGCTCACTAAGTCGCGCAACAGCATCATCTGCCTCGCTGGGCAGAACTGTGAGTAGCTTTTGACACCATGTGTATAGCTCAAATGACAGTTGCTCGCATTTCTGGTCAAACATCACAAAGTACAAGTCAATAATCCCTGATTCTGTACATGGCTGCATGTACCTGGGCATCCAGAACTCTGTCTTCAAGTTGAAATAAGGTACCACTTGCTGGGGACTACTGCCCGTCATATTCCTCAAGTTCTCATTTGCGGATCTCGCGTGCCAGTCTTTCTATTTCACGCTTACCATCTAAGCGGCGTTTCTCTCTCTCGGACTGCTGTATTTTTGCCCCACGCTCACGTTACATGCGATATTTTTCGCTCTGAGTCCCGCCTTTTTGTTTCACGCTCAAATTTTATGCGATGTTTTTCTCTCTCCTATTCCAGTATTTTTGTTTCACGCTCTCGTTCCAAGCGACGTTCCTCTCTTTCACACTCACCCCTCTCTTCCTGCTCTTTCTTTCTTTGATTTATGAGGTCACATGCTTCACAAAGCTCCTCATTATCAGCCCCCAAAATATTATTTACTGGTATGATTATGCGTTAATGTTCCAAACCCTTCGAATCGATCCCCAATTTCTCACACAAAAGCAGCAATCCTGGCTTCTGCAGCTCCCGTAAGTCCATGATCGTACTGAGTGCTCGCTACTTTCACAAAATAAACTTCTCGAAACGGCGAAATTGTGTCTTTCGGCAAAGTTAACTACCTTCTCTAAAATTTATTCCTGTTTCAGAACCTGATTCACTCAAAGGAAAAGCCAAGCACTCACCCATACGTGATTCAAGTCTCGAGACAGCTGCTTCCCGTGGGCCGACTGTTGTTGTAGCTTGTAGCCTAGAATCCAAGCGCTGTTCAACACTTGTTCGGGACCGGGTTCTACCCGACGCGTTCTCGCTGACGTGGGTTGCCGAGACGCTAAGGTTACGTTAGATCCGGTCTCTTGTGGTGGCGTGGCGGAATTTCGGGTAGAGAAAGCGAACGCTGGCAAGTTGGGGAAATGAAAAACAAACGATTTATCGCACTATTTACAACTAATTAAAGCATAGATGTTAAGAGTTCTGTAAACTACGAGTGTGGTGGATAAACCATCAAAACCATGGCTCAGAGCAATGTGGAGCGCTTTGCAGCGTCGTTTAAAAAATGCGCCACTGACCAGTTTTGACAATATTGAGCTCAGCTGACAAGCGCAATACGTAGACGAGGCGTTCATGATCACGTTTGCCAAAATTTGCAACACTACGCGCCGAGGAAACGGGTCGAATTTCGAGATGAACGCTGCTGCGCCTTCCTTATGCGGATAGGCACCTAGATCATAGGGAAATTTAGAATAGCGCACCGCGAGCCCTTGCGGTGTGGTAGATGCCACTGCGCACGCGTCGTAACGCGAGTCGCCCTCCGCGTTCACAGTCCGCATGCAGAAAATTCGAAAGAGCGTGCGGCGATCATGGCCAGCGAGGCCCGCAAAGTGCTGTCAGTAGCTTCTGTGCATTCGGGATTGTGGTCTGGGCAAAAGTCTCTAGAATTTTCTCTAGGAGGAGCAAATGCTATTCTAAAACTCTTACCGCGCCTGATATGCCTGCAACGCCTACAGCCCCTGCATACGTTATTCTGAAACTCCCTATTGAGGGCATGACGTGCGTGTATGAATGGCCCTACGTACACGGTAATGCAGAGACGTTGATCCTCTACGTATACGACTATGCCCTGACGTTGCCAACAGTGGCACGTGTTTTCTTCGACCTCGTAATAAAGGAAATAATTTACGCTCACGTAATAAAACACATGCCACAAAGGCGTACTCAAGTGCCACACAGGTTACTAAATGCCACACAGGCCGAACTGCAAGAGCGTCTATCAGTCACGTCGATGTCTTCTTTCACTGTCCACCACATGGCACGTGCATTTCTAACATTCAGCCATCCTGCAACCGATTAAACGTCCTCGTTAAAGCTGTCCCGGAAACGTTCTTCACTGATATTTTATGAAACTATACGGCCATTCTATTGAACTGCTTACTAAATGCCACATTATAGAAACGAGATGAAGAAGGAACGTAACCAAAATAAGACAGAAATACGCTGAGCATGAAGCTTTTCAAGGCAGCTATAAATTCGCTCGTTCTTAGCGGGAAAACTTTCAAGTAAATGTCGTTTCCGGCCATCCTGACTGGCTTGACTTTGAGGTAAGTCACAACACGCACGGTGCCAGTGTTCTTTAGCCTACGCTTCAGCTTCGATGTTTAGTGTGGCTCGAGCTTCGACTTTTGGCCCGTCTGAGGTAATTCTTTCTTCGAAATTGCTCCGGCGTTTGGTAGGTTTTCTGTGAACTCCTCGGCGTCGCCTGGTTCTCTTGACTTTGGCTCGTTATGTTCCTGCGGCTTGGCACGGCGATGTTCTTTCTGCTTTCTTTCTGTCGGCTCAGTGGCACTTTTCCCGATTCTTCAAGTTGCTTGTCTTCCGTTTTCTCGCCTTGGCTAAGCATGTCTTTCGGTGTTTGGTGATCGTCAATCTCGCTGTCCACCTGCTGATATTTATGTGTCACCTTTTATGTTGGAGGTAATTCTTCATCATCTTCCTTTTTCTTTTTTTCTTCGCCAACGTATCCCGCTGTTTCTTTTTCCATTCCGGGTTTTTCATTCACATTCACCACCTCGCTGTCTCTTCTCGCAGCACCGTGGTTGGAAGTTCATCTGCGTTTCCCTGCTTACAGCTTCGGCTGTGTCCTTGTCTTCCGGCTTTCTTTCGCCTCCCGCAGACGTCTTGGTCTCTGGTTCGTCACATTTCTTTGTTTTCGGTGTTCTCGTGGTTTCTTTTACTCTCTCCGCCACGCTGTCGTTTCTCGCAAAACCGCGTTTGGAGTGCATCTGCTTTTTTGCCACGATCTTCGGCTTCGTACTTGTTCTATGATTTCCCTTCGCCCTCAGCTTCGACTTCGCCTTTGTCCTTGTCCTTTGTCCTTGTTCATGCGTTGGTCTATTGCTCCAGCAGACATCTTGGGCTTCAAACCTTTGCCCTACTTCGTTGTCAGTGTTTTACAATCTACGGAGTTCTCGGCGTGTGATGGGGCTTGTTTGAAAAGTGGGTCTACGTGTCTTGTGCGGACCGCAACTGGCACAACTGCTGGTTTCGGTAGACACTGAGCGTCCCCTGCTTTCGCCAAG